GGGTATGCCTACAACATAAGTGGGCTTCATGCTTTAAGGTATACAATTTAAGCCGTAATCGTTTCCCCCTAATATGAAAGGGGTGGCAATAACAACTCTGAAAGTGTTTTTGTTATTAGGGGGTATTTTCATCTCTACTGCCACTGTTGAGGGGTTGTGCTCTTCCTCCTGCTCTAGCTCTTGCTCCCTCGCTGGCTTTTGCTCATGCTTTTGCTGCGTCTCGTGCGCCTCCTTTTGCTCCTGCTCTTGTTCTTGCTCCCGTTCTTGCTTTTGCTTTGCTCTTGCTGCTGCTCTTGCTCTAACTGAAGCTCTTGCTCTTGCTTTTGCTCTTGCGCTTTCTCTTACTGTGCTCTTCAGGTATTTGGAGCCTCGCAGCCCAGCCCCCTAACTCAGAATAGGTTTTAAAGTGCAGGGATGGCTTCGGGAGGATTCGCCCCAATTTGTTGTCATTAATAGGGGTTGTTTGATAAAAGTGGGAAGCTAATATTGGGTTCTCTAGATCTCAGATTTACTGGTTATTACAGCGAACCCCAGAAAGCTGGAACACGAAATAAACATATAGTTAATGTTGAATAGTCTTCTACTGCACCGTACTTGGAGGTTCATGGGTGGTTATAGGTAGGGTTATAAGTCCCCAGTATGGCAATATGGGTTATGATCGCAGTTACCATACTTATGACCCCACTTATAACTACCCATGAACCACCAAGTAGGAGTATGACAAAATCATGTTCCAGCTTCGGGCCCAAAGATTCGATTTACAAACCGCTGGAACAACACCGCCCAAGCACTAAGGGCTCAGCTATTACTGTCAGGACCCCGGTGAAGCCTCATAAAGAACCCAAAGCAAAGGCGATGTGGGGCTACGACTGGGGGACCAAGCAACAGCAGAGTGGTGAGACTATAGTAGAGCTAACAGTACTTGTAGTAGGGCAGCGGATTGTGGGCGTGACAACCAACATCACAGCAAACAGCAACTTCGTCCTGAACGAGGGTTTCCTGCAAGATACCAACACAGAGTAGGCTGCGCCGTACAAAAGAAAAGCTCTCCCCAGCCACAAGCCCGAAACCCTGAGCCCAATGCGTATCATTTAGCACAGCCCTAAACCCTAAACTCACATGCCGGCCGCACAAATCAAGAGTCTCAGGGCTCAGCAGCTCTTTCAGCCTTGCGGCCGAGCTTGAATCCGAGAGCACCCGAAAGCACAAAAGAGCCCACGAAGCCAGAAACTGAAAGCCGGAAAGCCCTAGACCCTCAACCTACCCAAACCCACTTTGTTGTAGGGAATCTATACCCTGATAGGGATTTTCTAGGGACCCTACAAAAAAGCAGGTTCTGGTGGGCTCAGGTATACCCTCAACCTACAATTGCGCTCGCCCCAACAGTCAAATTCCCTTGCTCTGCACTCACAACACTTCCGCCCTCAACCTCAAGCCTGGGCACACCAAACCTTCAATGCAAGCCGATGAGGTGCGATTGTCCTTACAGGGGTCTAGGGGGTTGGATCATAACGGCCTAGTTCGGGTGAAAAAATAACGCAAAGGGTCTTTCAAGGGGTATCGGCGGTTGGATCATAAGGGCCTGAGTCGGGTCTAACACTAACAGGTCAAGGCTGCAAGTTTGGGCTCACTACTACCTGCTGTCCAGTTTGACGGGTCAAATCCCGCTGGGTCCAGCAGACATGTTGCAGTGCTAAACCCTAAACTCTACCCGTTTTTCTTGGATTCGCAGGGTTGATCAAGGGCTGAATGTTGCAGTGAAGACACCAAGCAAATCAATGCTTCCGAGGTGTAGAGAAAATTAAACAAACAACAAGAGCATAAGAATGCAGGATGCAGACGTTGTGGTGAGTTTCGGCTTTGGGGTTTAAGTTTAGGGTTGGTTTCGGAGGTTAGGGCCACGGGTTTCGAGGTGTATTGTAGGAGCCTTAATAATGAGAATAGGGTTTTGGGATATATCCAACTATTATGTTAATCAGGAAACCAACAAAATAGTATTGGCAATTATTTAGGCCCCTAATATAGCAGTATAACGATAACAAGGAACGGAATAGCTTGACTACTTATGCAGGCTTCGATCCTTGCGAATACGAGCTGATTCTGGTTGCGACGTTGGCCACGGCGAAAACAACACATATGCATCATGCTAGGGCGACGATGGTGTTGTTGAAGGCGACATATTTGAGCATGAGACTGAAGAAAATGCCGAATTTCGACAGTGAGTGCTCTCACGGCATTACCATACCTTGCGCCGCTACACGTAGGAAGATCAGCTAGGGTTTCCTAAACCCTAAACCCTAAACCCTAAGCCCTAGGGCTGCAGATCTCCGGCATAGGCCCACGGCAATGCAAGCAGGTCATCATGCATCGTAGAAGAGCTTGCTTGTGCCTTGCGGCTCGTGTTTCTCGGCATTTGCGGCTTCGGATATTACCCCAACCCTAGTATACACTTTGGCCCCAAAGTACCTATACGGGGACTACTTTAAGGCCAAGGTTTATACTAGGCACCTGCACCCTTAGGGTTAAGTTCTCAAGCTGAGGCTTTGGCGTTTCTTGTTTCGGTTTACAGGTTTCAGGGCTAGGGTTTAATGTAGGGGTTCAGGGTTTGGGGCCTGAGTTACAAAGTAGAATAGGGCTTTCGGGGATATTAACCTAAATTGTCATAAGGACTCTGACATAAGGGAATCGCATTAGTACTGCTGATGATATACATCCTGCATTACCTTCAGGACCCCAAACTATAGGAATCCGGGTATAGTCCTGCATTTGGTTAATGCGGGAGTTGTATCATCCGTAGCACTACTTAAAGGATCTTGGGACTTAGCAGGTAGGGTTATAACTAAGGTAACTATACTTATAACCCCCAATTAGGGGACTTATAACCTTACTTACTAAGTCCCATGATCCTCCAAGTACTACTCTAAACCCTAAACCCTAAGCCCTAAAACCCTAAACCCTTACTTACTAAGTCCCATGAAGCTCCATAAGTGCCTGGCCCCTGAAAGGAAGCCTTGGGCCTTGGGGGGGTTTGGGGGTGGGATTCTTAATGTTTGGCACTGGGGGCCTCCAGCGCTTCAGGGTTTAGGGGTTTAGGGGTTTAGGGTTTAGGGGGTTAGGGGTTTAGGGGTTTAGGGTTTAGGGTTGAGGGGTTTAGGGGTTTAGGGGTCAAGGGGTTTAGGAGTTTAGGAGTTTAGGGTTTAGGGTTTAGGGGTTTAGGGGTTTAGGGGTCTAGGGTTTAGGGTTCCGAAAATGGTGCAGTACCTGCTAGCGGGGCTGGGGTTTCAGGGCTCAGGGGGTAAGGGTTTAGGATAGATAGGGGTTCGGGTTGAGGAATTACGGTTTAGGGATTAGGGTTTGGGGTTTGGGGTTCTGAGGTTTATTTAGGTATTAGTGACGGCTCTATCTACGCTTACAAAGTACCTAGGTACCTGAACCCTAACAAATCGTAAATGGGAATTAAGTTCCTCAAAAGCGATCGACCCGAACAACACCACTGCTAGTCTCAAGGCTTGGTGGGATTGGCGTCTTGAGGTTGTAGGCATCATGAGAGTCTGGTCTCGGGAGTGAGGTTCAGGGTTGAGGCTTTAGCGCGTCCAATAAGTGCTTACGGGGTTTAGGGTTTAGGGTTTTGACGCGCCCTACATCACTGAGGCCCATCACATCCAAAACCTTCAACTGTGAATCGCTGACAGGTTCAAAAGGCAACACCCTAAACCTTAAACCCCTAAACCATAAACCCTAAACTCCTGAACCCCTAAACCCTAGACCGACAGATTCCAAACCCTGACTCCGGTGGAGCTTTCTGGGTTCAGATCGTTAAGAGTCATGTACGGCCTAAATAATTACCTATACTCCTTTTTTGGGGGCTCCTTCTCCTAATTGTAGTATAAATGAGCCCAAAACCCTATTCAAATTAAATATTAAGGCCCTTACATTAGAGGGTGACCCGGGGCTCAAGGCTTCGAGCTTAGCAGTTGCTGAGTGGAGCAGCAAGAAGTAGGACGAACAAACATGTCAGACTCTCTCGCAGGCCAGTTGTGCAGAGACCCCTTAAGAGATACCGAGGTCCTTCATCATCACAATCATCGAAACTTATAGAAACATCACAAACCTTACGTCGATAGCTCTCCGAACCCTTATTGTAACTTTGACGTACCTTACAAGGAGCCCCCCCCCTTTCCCGGCACAGGGCCTTGGCACAGCCCCGTTCTGTGAGGCGCAGCAGAGCTGCGGCGGCCAAGGGTGCCAAGGGCGCCTGGCACCAGTGCGAAAATGAGGAGCAAACTTCAGCGTCTAGGGGGTGCGGTTTACGGGTTTAGGGGTTTTGGGTTTAGGATATTCTCTCAGACGACAATTCTCAATCGGAACAGCACCCTCAACACCAAAACATCGCCTCGGGGCATGCCCAAAAAGCCCGCACGAGCCCCTATCCCGGATGCCTCGTGGTCTTTCGTCTCAGTAGGCGGAGACCTCTGTGAGACTTCACTGTCTGCTCGGGTCTCAGAGGCGTAGTAGGCGTAGTATAGTGGTTGAATATGGTACCTTCTACACTGGTTTAATACAGTAATAACGTAGTGCAATACCGTAATAGTATAACGGTTTATTATCGTATTGGAAGTGCAATCTTATCGTAATAGCATAGTGCAGCACGCAGGGTGCTGTGGCTAAGGAAAACCTAAACCCCAAACCCTAAACGCTGAAGCGGGCGAACTTGCAATCAGAACTTCCAAGGCGAAAGCAGCTGCGCGAGCTCTCAACCCTCTAAGGGTGCCTCTGCTGGGGAATGGAGTTTCGCAAGGTTAGTAAAGGGTTGTAAACGGTTGTTAGAATAGGCGAGTCTCATAACCTCTAATTCAAGAACTTCACCGAGTTCAGACCTTGAGGTGCACATCTGCAGGGCTTAGAGCTTCGACGCGATGTTTGGGGATTTAAGGCTACAGACCGGCCCGCACCCCTAACCCTAAACCCTAAACCCTAAACCTTTTTGAACTCACGCGCAGTCATGGACAGGAGTAGTAGCGGATCATGCCCGGCCGCAGAGCTTCATTGATCCGCGGGCAAACTTCGCGATTCCAGACCTGTCTCATAGGATGCCAGGGTTTCTTAGACATTCGTATGCATGTATGTATGTATGTACGTATGTATGTCTGTCTGTATGTATGTATGTATGTATAGATGTATGTATAGGAGGGTACATACTTGCGTTGGTAGTTAGGTACGTGGGTGTAGGTAGGCAGCTAGGTAGGTAGCTAGGTAGATAGGTAGGTAGCCAGGTAACTGTATGATAGTGTATGTATGTGCGCATGTCAATGTATGTAATGTAACTATAGCACTTAATAATTAGAATAGGGTTTGGGGGGTCCTTTATAGTATATCAATAGTGAGGAACCCCGAAAATACTGTTGGTAACAATTGAGGCCCCTATATCATAGCAGTATAATCCCTCCATATTATACTATAGTTCTTATAAGGAACCTAGAGTAGTGTAGGTAATTATTTAGGCCCCCAAAAGTAAACGTCTTGTGAAGACCGATCCGATCCTCCTCAAGAGTTGCGGTTGCATCCAAGCCCACAATTCTTTTAACCTAGGGCCCCAAACCGTGAAACTCCTAAACCCCCTAAACCCTAAACCCCCTACAGCAAGCCTGAAAACCCCTAGACCCTAAACCCTAAACCCGAAGCTCTAAACATCCAAACCCTAAGCCCTTACACCCCAAGCCCCTAAACCACTAGCGTCCCTTTTAGGATACGTTTTATAAGGGTGCCGTACTAAGTCGAAGCCTCAACAAGGACCCTACTTCAGAGAACTACCCCTATCGTACCCCTGCAAGGAGCCCGGGAAATTTAGAGAACTACCCTAAACCCTAAACCCTAAACCCTAAACCCTAAACCGTACCCTTATAAAAGCCTTATAGAAACCCTACCCTACACCCTCAACCCTTAAAGATCCCTGTAAGGAGCTCTAAAGCTTCGGCCTTAGTAAAAGCCCCATAAACGGTTTAGGGTTTAGGGTTTAGGGTTTAGGGTTTAGGGACATAGAAACCCTTACAGATCCAGGAGCCCGGAAAAAAAGGCTACCCTGAACCCTAAACCCCAGACCCTAAACCCTGAAACCCTAAACCCCTAAACCCCTAAACCTTGAAGCCCTAAACCCTAAACAGTTTCAAAGGAACCCTAAAGCCCAAACCCAACACCCTATTTTAGAGAACTACCCATGTGGAGTTCCGCCTCCACCTTCTGAAGAAGGCCGGCCATCGACCGATGCACAAAGAAGACCTGGGGTTCAGGGCTTTAGGGCTTTAGGGCTTTAGGGGTTTAGGGTTGAGGGTTTAGGGGCTTAGGGTTTAGGGGTTGGATTTTTAGGTTTTTAGGGGTTTAGGGGTTTAGGGGTCTGGGGCTTTAGGGCTTTAGTGGTTTAGGGGTTTAGGGGTCTAGGGGTTTGGGGTTAGGGGTTAGGGGTGAAGCCGTGAGGGGTTAGGGTTTTAGGGGTTTAGGGGTTTAGGGGTTTAGGGGTTAGGGGTTAGGGGTTAGGGGTTTAGCGGTTAGGGGTTAGGGGTTTAGGAGTTTAGAGGTTTAGGGCTAGGGTTTTTGGCTTAGGGTTTAGAGCTTTAGGGTTTAGGGTTTAGGGGTTAGGGGTTTAGGGTTTTAGGGGCTTAGGGTTTAGGGGTTTAGGGTTTAGGGCTTTAGGGTTTAGGGTTTTGGGTTTAGGCGTTTAAGGTTTCGCGTTTTGGGTTTAGGGGTTTAGGGCCTTTGGGGTTTCGGGGCTTTGGGGGTTTCGGGCTATAGGGTTTAGGGGCTTTAGAGGTTACGGCTTTGAGGGTTTAGGGTTTGAGGGTGCAGGAGGATCTATTTTGTTAGTGCTTCTTTAAGTTATTGCGGGCTTAGGGTTTAAGGTGTTCTTTTGGTCATTTGAGGTTCAAGTGTTCATGATACTCCTCGAACCCAGTACATATACTACGCCCCGTAGACCCTTTTACATCCTGTAACTACTTCAATTTAAAACCCTTGTAGCTGCCTCGGGGCTTCAGAATCGGTTTAGGGTCTAAGATTTATAGGGTATAGGGTATAGGGTTTAGGGTTTAGGGTTTAGCTCAGTAGACGATATTCGCAAGTATGAATTCTCAGGGTTAGTGTTGGTCATTACTGCGACCCCTGCATTACACACCTCCCCAAAACCCCCAAGCCCTAAAACCCTAAACCCTAAACCCCTCTACCCCAACCCTTAAACCCTAAAACCCTGAACCCCAAACCACCAAACCGTAAACGTTCAAACCCCCAAACCCTAGGCCCTGTACCCCTAAAGTTTAGGGTTTAGGGGTTAGGGTTCATAAACCCTAAAACCCTCCCTGAACCCCCTGGACAGCTCCGAGGGACGTCCCTGTGGAGCTGCGTGGCGTTGACGTAGCCCCGGGAGGTGAGGAGCTCTGCAACCTTCTGGAAGCTGTTGTCCTGAGCTTTGTTCTAGGGTGTTTTTTTGAACTCCTTTTTCCGAAGCCCGAAGGTCCCGAAAGGCCTTTGTTCTAGGGTTTAGAGTTTAGGGTTTAGGGTATAGGGTTTTGGTTATCGGGTTTAGGGTTTAGGATTTTAGTGTTGTCCTGAGCTTTGTTGGAGTTTTTGGGTTCAGGGCTTTGGGGTCTGTCTCTTGGGGCTTCCGGGGTGTCAGGGTTGTACTTAAAGGATCCTGGGACTTAGTAAGTAGGGTTATAATTAAGGTAACGGTACTTATATTTAGTTATAACCCCAATTAAGGGACTTATAACCTTACTTACTAAGTCTCATGATCCTCCAAGTAGGGTTTGGGACGGCCCCAGGGGTTTGGGGCTTTGGGGGGTTTTGGGGGCTTTAGGGCTTAGGGCTTTGTGGGCTTTGTGGCTTGAGGATTTAGGGTGGCTTTGGACTTCGACGGCTTTCACAGGATTCTTCGACGGGGTTGTTCGCCGGAGACGTTTTATGCGGCTGTAGATAAGGGTAGTACCAGTTTTACAGGGGTGACCATCAACTTCCCATGAGCATAGCATCTAGCCCAAACTGTCACTCTGCACCCAATGTCAAACAGTATACAAATAGAGACGACTTAGTGGCCTAAAGCCTCGACGTCCCACCTGCATTGGGCTCTATATTCCTCAGGGCTCCAAACCCTATTCTAATTAAGTTCTCTTCTAATTGTTCAGGCCCTTATATTATATTGGCCCTAAGCCCTAAACCATAAACCCTAAACGCCAAACCCGAAACCCTAAACCCTAAACCCAGTTTCGTTCCCTTCGACGAGGATGGTGTCGATGGTCACGATGTTCCAGTCGATGCCTTCTAGGCAAGCCAGCTCGGCTCCTTCAACCTGAGTAAGTGACTATCAAGATCCTATAAACCCTACGGTTTAGGGTTTAGGGTTTAGGGTTTAGGGTTTAGGGTTTAGGGCTATCAAGATCCTATAAACCCTACGGTTGATGATATGAATCCTGCATTCCTTATAACGAGGTATATACCATAATTCCTATAGTTTAGGGTCCCTACTTGGAGGACCATGGGACTTAGTAAGTAAGGTTATAAGTCCCCTACTTGGGGTTATAAGCATAGTTACCCTAATTATAACCCTGCTTACTAAGTCCCATGATCCTTGAAGTAAGGTAATGCAGGACTTTTATCATCAACAGTATTTCATCAGCAACCGGCCAGGAGGGGTTGTAAGCTGCGGGTACGCAGCCGCGGTAGGATCGATGATCTAACGACGCGGCTTGCAGGAAAAATACATTTAGGCATGCAGGGGTTCTATGGAGCATATGACATGATTAACTTGTCCGACCTCTAGAACCCGAAACCCAAAGAGCATCTCGGGTGATCCCCAGCCCTGAACCCCAAACCCTAAACCCCAAACCCCAAACCCTAAACCCTAAACACCCGAAGCAACGTCCAAGCTCATGAAGTCGATGTGTGTCATCTCATGAGCTTTGAAGACATCCGACAGTGTCTGGCACGTCATGGTGGTCCTCTTTCCTCGGTCTCTGAAAGGAAGGAAAGGAAAAGTGGATCCGTTTCTATGGACTGAGGGTGTCATTGACAATATCGGGAAACCCTGGCCAGAAGAAGCAACAAAGATCATCAATATTGACCAGGTTTCCCCCAGTAGCTGTCTTCTTTAGAACCTTCCTTTCGCTTTCAATTCCTCCAAAGGGTCCTTGCAGTACGAAAGTAACATCCTTCTTTTGCTCTGCGATGCATGTCTTCACGACGGCGCAACGGCGCTTCCTTGCAGACTCCGAGATTGACCACCAAACTAGTCTAGGGAAAGCCTTGATCCAACCCATCTAGCAGAAGACTACAAGGAGGTTGGAAGTAGGGTTACGGTTTAGATATGGAGAGGTCCAAGCTTGACATGCATGTCAACCTGGATGCCCGAGTTAAGCTACAACTAAAACCCATTGTCACGAAGAAATAACATGGGGGTTTCTGAAAATAGGGGACCCTAATATAGTACCCCAAATAATAGGATCCAAAATATAAGGACCCCAAAATAAGGTACCCCTAATTTTCGGAAACTCCCATATTGGAGGCTCGTGATCAACTCGCTGTGGTAGTCGGTGTTTGGCTCGATGCACACACCATCGAATTTCAAGCAGTGGTCCGCGAAGTAAGTGTTGCTGATGTATCCTCGTTCGAACCGTCAGAAGACTACTTTCAGGATCATGGGACTTAGTAA